TAAGTTTTCTTTAAATTTCAATGTTTTTTGTTTAGGAAAGTGAAGCGCCCGGATCTTCTTCATCAATGTTAGTTTCTTCAAGCAACAAAAACCCTCCTCAACCAGTAATAGTTCGTCGTCGTGAAGAACAAAAAATATTGACAGTTACCACATATCAAATGTGCCTACTTATGCGCTTCAATATTAATGAGAAAATGACTTTTGAGGTTTTTTTAAATATTTTTTTCCAAATTTTTTTAACTAGCAAATACTCAATGAAACACAAATTCCTGAAAAAGAGCTCAAACGTTGTCTTCAATCCCTTGCTATGGGAAAACAGTCACAAAGAATTTTATGTCGCAAAGGTGGCGGAAAAGATATAGGTTGTTTTTTGATTCTCTAAAGAATTTTTAAAAAATATTTTTTTCTCATTAGAAGCAAATGATGAGTTTAGTGTAAATGATGGTTTTACTTCAAAACTTACTCGTATTAAAGTGCAAATGGTTTCTGTTCGAAGCGAGACTGAACCTGAACGAAAGGAAACTCGATCGAGGGTAATTTGGATGTTTATTTGAATTTTAGGGGAATTTCTGGTCTCTTTCCGGGCCTTTTTTAATTCCTTTGGGCGTTCTTTGGGTCAAGTTTCAACTTGAGGAACTCGGAATTTGGGGAATTTTTCGGGAATGGTTTTGGATGTCCCTCTTCTCTTTATTCTGTCGACAATTCCTCTAGGCAGGCATCAACTCGAGTAACTCTGAGTCAAGTATAATCCCCAAGTTCCTTAAGTCTTGTATCAAAAACGTCGCTTATTCGCTTGTTTGTCACTTGATTTACTCATCGTTAAGTTTCCCGGTTCCTCCAAAATTAGTTAATAAATTGGGGGTATACATATGAGTTTTTTCGACTTTCTGTCCTAAAGTAGAAAAGAAACCTCCCAAACGAATAACCCCATGGGGTTATTTTTTCGATCAAACTCTAGAAGGAGGGGGGGGGGTTATTTTAGAGGATAGGGCTATTTTGGGTGAAGATATGGTACTACCGCATTTTCCTGAAGAATTATCTCACTTTCTTTATTTTTAAAGGTTGATGATGATCGTAAACATGAAATTGAGGCAGCTATTGTACGCGTAATGAAGGCTAGGAAAAAATTGCTTCATAACGATCTCGTGACTGAAGTATATTTTTTAATTTTTTAAAATTTATTCTCCTCTCATTTTTTAAAGGTTACCAATCAACTTAAAACTCGTTTCATGCCAGACCCAATATTAATCAAAACTCGGGTTGAATCTTTAATTGAACGTGAATATTTGGAACGAGACAAATACAATATAAAAATGTATATTTATCTCGCATAACTTTTTTTTGCTTTCTCTTTTTTTGATTTATATACTATATCTAGTTTTAGAATCAAAACATTTTATTATATAAATTTTTGTGACAATTATTTTTTTCGTTTTTTCTCTATAATTCATGTTATGCTTAATAGTTTCATTGAGTTTGATTTATGATGAGTTTAAAAATGTCAAGTCCGTATATATCGTAACTAGGGTTGCCGTTTTCGTTCGGGCCGACGTTCGAATCATTCGGGAAATTGATAATTCCTCATAGGCATTATAAATTTTTGTTAATTAAAATAAATGCCCGCAAATTAAGAAAAGGACAATTTTTGTCCACTACACTGAAAGAGCCTCTCATCAACTTTTCTTTTTCGCCATTTACAGGTCTCAAATTGGGGAACATCTACAAAAGGAAGTTTGGAAAGAATCGACTCAATTTCGACCAGCAACAAAACTCGATTGCGTCAAAAAGGGGAAAACTTAAAAAAAAGTACACAATTTTTTGACTTATGCAAAATCATTTGAAATACATTTTATTTATATTACAATTTTTTTGTTATCACAAATAAGTTTTAAGGGGAAAAACATGATTCAAATAAGGAAAAATATATTTAGGCATAGTACATAATTTTTTGAACAAAAATGTTTATAATCGTCAGTTCTTAATATCCTTCTTTATACAAACTTCAGCTAACAATTAGATCAGCAGCCAAACGAATCAAGCAAACACACAGAACATTAGTTGGCGCTATCTAAAAATTTAATTTTCTTTTGAAAACATTTAAATTAGCTTACACATAATCCCTCTGACGTAGTTGTCCATTTGACAAGGAGTACGGCAGTCGTGCAGGCGATGGTTGGCCGTACTAAGAAGCATCCAGGCCTTGTTGAACTTTCCAGCTATCAGCCATACAACCATCCTGACTTTCGCATGGCAGAGTCCATTTCTGCACTTGTATGTAGTGGTTTGCGCAACAATCGGAATCCCTTTGTGTTTCCCGATTTCTTCTTCGGTCGGTTCATCAGGGATCCAAACCGAGTAAGCCTGCCGAAGGATCTTCTGTTGCTCCACGAAGGCATCTTCACGTGCAAGGAAGATTGAATCACGATAGGTCCTTTTGATGTCCTTGACAGGCTTAAAAGTCAAAATTTATTTTTTTTAAATTTGTTGATTACAAACATCGTAAACTGGATCAGCAGGCCCGGTGACTGAAAAAAAAACTTATTTACTTATATTATTAGTAGACATACTTACATTCATCTCCTTTGAGAAACGATGTGATTTCCGCCTTATTACGTCCGTCATGTTCACTATGCTCGATTGAAGAGAAGAAGAGGTTTCCACTCACGAACTCGGTGAACTCTGCTCCTGTAGTCACTTCGACAAGTTTGAGAATGGCGCGGCAAAGCGGAAATTCACACTCAAGAATCGTTGTCGTTTCTTGCTGTTTGGTTCCATTTTTGGTCGTCAGTTCTCGAACCTCCGGAGTTGCCGCAATCCACTTACTCAGGAATCCAAATAAGTCTGCTTTGCAGTTGGCAAGTTGCTCGTCAGTTTCAAGACATAGCTGGTCCCTCCAACGGCGATTGAACAAAGCCATGTCTAAAAATAAAAAAAAATTTGGAGGATTGATTAAAGAAAAATTCAATATACCTTATGTTGCTGTAGAGTGAATAACAAAGAGCCCGTGCGCTGGTGAGTTGACGAGAATTTAGGATGTGAAGAATAAACGCCTTTTATACTCGAGAAAGATCGATTCAAGTTAGCGATTCAGAATCGCCGATTCAAGATACTTAAATTTAATTTAAAATTCCAACTTAAACCAAAACCTTCTGCAAAGGAATTGAATTAACACAATTTTTACGTTCTTCAAACTTTATTAAAAAGTTTTTTAATTAAAAAATAATTAAATTTAAAAAAAACTCTTAAAATTAATTTTTAATAAAATTAAATCAAAAATTATTTTTAAAGTGATTTAAAAAATAACCGTAAAATGTCGTTTACCAACAGAAACATTCTGTTTGGAAGGTTAATAACCCAAAAATCTTTTTTGCATCAGGCGAAAATTTTGAGGATTTAGGAAGGAAAGATATATCTAGATTTCTTCATTTTTCTGCACCACAGGCTCTGAGCAGTTTGGAAGACCTGATTGCACACGTGATATTCGGAGCTGTAACTCCTATAAAAATCGTACTTTATAATGAGGAGTTGGAGGTTTAGCTAGGGTTAGGCAACTCCTTATTAAGCGGTCAACAAAATTTTGGAAGATTTATTTTATTCTAATGTTGCTAGATGTTGGACAATTGATAGGAATTGCAAAGTGGTGTAAGGATAGATATTCTAATAAACTACAGGACAATAAATATATTTATCCGTTAAGTTTGTCTATTAAATTGTATTATTTTTCTCTGAGTCATTCTAGTATGTATTACAATAAAAATGTAAAAAACGTTTATAGAGTGTTGCATCGTTTACTATTCAATTCTAATCAGCTAACAATGATATATATAATTTTCTCATGCCATATTTTTTTCATAATCAAAAAACTTTGCTAAATAAAATTTAAAAAGTCAATTTCTACTTAATATATAATATTCAAATTTGCAATTATTTTAATTTACTTTTAACTTAATTTAATTACTAAAACATAATAATTTTCCAATTTTTGGGCCGGAGGTGTGTATATACCTCCTTAAATTATTGTTGAAATTCTTCTTGAATATTTTCCAAGAACACTAGTAGACCGAACTAACGAACGTCTTAGAGAAGTGACGCTTCGTCGGGTTTATACGTGCATAATGAAATGCATTGTAGTATCATGGACGAGTTTTGGCAGTGGAGCAGGGGTTGTTCGGTGTCCGCTAGGGGTGTCCCCGTTCCCAAAAGTCTAAAAATCGGGAACTTTTATTAATTATTGGAGCTAAAAATGGAAGTAATCTTGTGACTTGGTTTTATAAAAAAATTTTAAATTTTTAAAGGGAGTTAACGAAGTAATAAATTATTTAGAAGCAGTTTATGAAAATTTAAATACACAAAAATTGGAAATGATTGAAAATTGGAAATCTTCTCTCTTCCATAATCAAAAAACTTTGCCAAATAAAATTTAAATAGTTAATTCTGCTTAATATATAATATTCAAATTTGCAATTATTTTATAATATTCAAATTTGCAATTATTTTACTTATTATTTTTTAGTAAAATTATTATTTTACAATTTTTGGGCCGGAGGTGTGTATATACCTCCTTAAATTATCGTCGAATTTTTTTATTTTATTTCGATCTTAAAACAGTCGAATCTTGACAAGACCATACCTCGAGATCAGTGCTTGGAAATTTTAATTTTGCTCGCACTCGTACTTCGTACCACCGCATTTTTTGACCTCGTACCTTGTACTTACTCGTACTTAAGAAAAAAGCAACAAATTTAAAATTTTTCGGATTTCTGATGTCTAAGTTAGAGTTGCACGAGGTCGAGGCCGAGGTCCTCGTCCATTTTGCAATCTCGGTCTCGGATTGACCGGCCTCTGACCTCGGTCTCGGTTTAACTTTTAAATCACTTTAAAAATAATTTTTGATTTAATTTTATTAAAAATTAATTTTAAGAGTTTTTTTAATTTAATTATTTTTTAATTAAAAAACTTTTTAATAAAGTTTGAAGAACGTAAAAATTGTGTTAATTCAATTCCTTTGCAGAAGGTTTTGGTTTAAGTTGGAATTTTAAATTAAAGTTAAGTATCTTGAATCGGCGATTCTGAATCGCTAACTTGAATCGATCTTTCTCGAGTATAAAAGGCGTTTATTCTTCACATCCTAAATTCTCGTCAACTCACCAGCGCACGGGCTCTTTGTTATTCACTCTACAGCAGCATAAGGTATATTGAATTTTTCTTTAATCAATCCTCCAAATTTTTTTTTATTTTTAGACATGGCTTTGTTCAATCGCCGTTGGAGGGACCAGCTATGTCTTGAAACTGACGAGCAACTTGCCAACTGCAAAGCAGACTTATTTGGATTCCTGAGTAAGTGGATTGCGGCAACTCCAGAGGTTCGAGAACTGACGACCAAAAATGGCAAAAAAGTTCAAGAAACGTCAACGATTCTGGAGTGTGAATTTCCGCTTTGCCGCGCCATTCTCAAACTTGTCGAAGTGACTACAGGAGCAGAGTTCACCGAGTTCGTGAGTGGAAACCTCTTCTTCTCTTCAATCGAGCATAGTGAACATGACGGACGTAATAAGGCGGAAATCACATCGTTTCTCAAAGGAGATGAATGTAAGTATGTCTACTAATAATATAAGTAAATAAGTTTTTTTTCAGTCACCGGGCCTGCTGATCCAGTTTACGATGTTTGTAATCAACAAATTTAAAAAAAAATAAATTTTGACTTTTAAGCCTGTCAAGGACATCAAAAGGACCTATCGTGATTCAATCTTCCTTGCACGTGAAGATGCCTTCGTGGAGCAACAGAAGATCCTTCGGCAGGCTTACTCGGTTTGGATCCCTGATGAACCGACCGAAGAAGAAATCGGGAAACACAAAGGGATTCCGATTGTTGCGCAAACCACTACATACAAGTGCAGAAATGGACTCTGCCATGCGAAAGTCAGGATGGTTGTATGGCTGATAGCTGGAAAGTTCAACAAGGCCTGGATGCTTCTTAGTACGGCCAACCATCGTCTGCACGACTGCCGTACTCCTTGTCAAATGGACAACTACGTCAGAGGGATTATGTGTAAGCTATTTTAAATGTTTTCAAAAGAAAATTAAATTTTTAGATAGCGCCTAATGTTCTGTGTGTTTGCTTGATTCGTTTGGCTGCCGATCTAATTGTTAGCTGAAGTTTGTATAAAGAAGGATATAAAGAACTGACGATTATAAACATTTTTGTTCGAAAAATTATGTACTATGCCTAAATATATTTTTCCTTATTTGAATCATGTTTTTCCCCTTAAACTTATTTGTACCAAAAAAAATTGTAATATCAATAAAATGTATTTCAAATGATTTTGCATAAGTCAAAAAATTGTGTACTTTTTTTTAAGTTTTCCCCCTTTTTGACGCAATCGAGTTTTGTTGCTGGTCGAAATTGAGTCGATTCTTTCCAAACTTCCTTTTGTAGATGTTCCCCAATTTGAGACCTGTAAATGGCGAAAAAGAAAAGTTGATGAGAGGCTCTTTCAGTGTAGTGGACAAAAATTGTCCTTTTTTTTAATTTGGCATTTATTTTAATTAACAAAAATTTATAATGCCTATGAGGAACTATCAAGTTTAGATAATGTATTTTGTTGGCCTTTCTCAAAGCCTTTCTCCTCCATCACTAATTTGAACTATTTACCAAATTTTAAATTATTGTATTATAAACAATAAAAATAGAACAAAAAAATGTTTTATTCTCAAAAAGTTTTAATTCAAAAAAATTTATTTTTTCTTTACTGCTGGCCCAGTTGGGGCAATAAAGTTGGTTGAGGGTTGAAAATATGTTGAGGCTTTCCCAGCTTCTTTTTGAATAGGCGTCACTAATTCGAGTCCATGAATAGGCGTAAAAGAAATTGCTGAGGCCGTTCCAGCAACCGAGCCTTGTGTTGTTCCATGCCCTTTAGCTGCGATTGAAGTAACGCCTCCATGTTGTCTAGTCTTCTCTATTGTTTTTTGAAGTTTTTGGGACATTCTAAATTTTTTTAAAATTTTGTTGGAATTGGGTAAAGGATGATAGAGCCTCATTCTTAGATACCCCAAAGACTTACTTAAACATTCTTTAATAAATTTAATTGAGTACTTGGAGGAGAAGCCGTCTAACATAAGCTAAACCCTCAAAACATTCCTCATTATAAAGTGCGATTTTTCAATCTCAAACATAGAACTGCCCAACTTAGCTCCCCTCAAAGATACTCATATTTTAAAGTACCTATTATATCTTCAATCCAAAGGGAGTATCCTATAGTTAGGGTCAAACCTCTAGTTAATCTTCAAGTTATTTTGAATACTCTCCCCCAGGCCTGTAACCAGGATTTTTTAGAGAAGAGGGGACAAGGGGGCAATTATTCTGCGCCGAATTATTCGCGTCGAAGGCGCCAAAAATCTACCTGGTTACGGGCCTCCTCCCCTTAAAACATCCCATATTAAACCCCATTCAAATAGAAAACATACTTTACACGTGTTTTGTTATCAACAACAGCAGCTCGTATTCTACTTCCAACGGGTAAACTTGAACTCTTTGCTTGTCCCATAGTAAAGCCAATATGGTCTTGCATAACATCTTCTTGTAATTCACCAAAATTCATTCGATTTGCCTTCTTTCTCAATTCTGTTGCTTTTAATAATTCTTTTTGTTTTCGAACACGTTTGCCTCCTCTTTTCTTGCTAGCTTTATCCAATGGTTTTGGTAAGGGCTTAAAAAATAAGAAAAATAAGAATAAAATTAATTACTTATGTATAAGATTTAGGATAGAGGCTGGACCTAGGCGAGACATCCGAACTTATAGAAATCAAGATTTTTCGGGATATCTCGAACGATGAGTACGACTCTCCGACACTCCCAGCCCTGTCTAATTTAAGGTATTGACAAAGACGTCCGCAACAATGAAATTAATTGCGGACAAGTTTGATATATTGCGGACATCTCTGTTATAGAGCTCAAGATTTACCGAAATATTTCGAACGATGAGTACGACACTCCCAGACCTATGTCTAATTTAAAGTATTGACAAGAATGTCCGCAACAACGAAAAAATGAATTGCGGACATTTCTGTTATAGAGGTCAAAATTTTTTGAGATATCTCGAACCAGGCCCGTAGCCAGGGGGGGGGGTGAGGGGGGGAATTCCCCCCCCCCCCCCCCGAAATGGGAAAAAGGAAAAAATTTGGGGAAGGGCTGGGGCAAAAAAAGTGAATTTTTTTGGCCTACGGCCTCTGAAATTAAAAAAATTTTCGCCTGCGGCGCTAAAAAAGGAAGAAATCTAGCTTCTTGAGGTCCAAAATTCAAAAAATTTTCGCCTTTTGGCGCCGAAAAATTGAATTTTTTTGGCCTACGGCCTTCTAAAATTCTCAAAATTTTCGCCTGCGGCGCTGAAAATAAAAAATTTTTGGCGCCTTCGGCGCCAAAAATTTGGCGCAGAAAAAATTCCCCCCCTCGAAAAAAAATCCTGGCTACGGGCCTGTCTCGAACGATGAGTATGACATTCCCAGACTTACGTCGAATTTAAGGCATTGACCTGGCAGTCCGCAACAATGAAAAAAATTGCGGACAATGACTAAACAATATCCTCCTAATATGTAGTCCCCAAAAAAGACTTTTTTCCTAATATTTAAAGCAAAAAAATTTCACGGAAAATTGGAGAGGAGGAATTACTTTAGAAAAAAAATAAAAAAAAGAAAACCTTTCTATTTTTAACTGGAGGCGGCTCTTGCATTTTTTCCAATTTTAATTTAACTTCTTGCATTAATTGTTCCCCAATCCTTCCATCCATGGAAGAATGAATTGAATCAATTCTTGCTGCCAATGTACATTTAGCTGCTATTAATCTTGCAGCTTTTCTTCGTAAATCAGGTTGAAGTGATTGGACAATTGGATGGTGATAAATAAATCCTGTGTGGGGCAAAATAGCAGAGGAACTGAAGCCAGAAAGCGTTTTCTTTTGTTTTCCTAGAAGAAAAATTTTTGAAAATATTTTTAAGAAAAGGTAGGTATTTGAAAAAATGGAGCATTGTTTTTGCGAATTTTCTTTTAAATTTTTCTTAGAAAAACCAATAACCCCTCTGCAAATGCCAATGAAATTAAAAACCACTAACATCAAAACATATGCAACATTTGAGGAATAAGACAGGAAAAAAGTGCGGCAGCAGACAAATTAAACTTTTTCATTCGTATGAGGTCCCACCCAATTTATTAAAATTTAATTTACCACCTTATTGAGTGAAAAATACGCAAAAACACAACTACCCCACCTACTGCAAATTCCCCAAAAAATTAAAAATCTAATACCAAAACAATAAAACATTTGAGGAATAGGTCATAAAAAGAGTCCGCAAAAGACCAATTCATCATTTTTCCTTCGTATGACACCAAATTTATTGTCTAATTTATCAAAGTGATTGAGTACAAGGACGAAAAGCGAGAAAATAGAAAAAGTCGCAAAAAAAGTCCGCAAATCCACCCTCTCCAAATTCCCCCCAAAAATTAAAAAAACCTAATATCAAAACATTGCAAGCAGGCATTTTGGCTACAGGAGTAAGCCCTCCACACTGTGAAACAATCATCGCAGCAGTCCCCGCTCCAACAATTCGACACAAATTTGGAGCAATTAAAGACATTCTCAATTCTACAAACATGTGCATTTTCATTCTTTGGTCATAAAGTTCTTCTGCCATTGAACAGGCTTCCATTATTATATCTAACTATAAAAAAATAAAATTTTTAAAAAATGAAAGTTGAAAAATTCAAGAAACCTCATTTTGTTCAAGTCGTGTTCCCTGAGAAGTTGAAGCAGTAACACTGACGACCTTAAAAATTATTTAATTTTTTAAAATTTTTTAACATTCAAAATTTAAAAAAATCAAATCAAAACCCTACGGCCTTCCAAATTTTGAAATTTTCGCTTGCAGTGCTAAAAATCAAAATTTTTGGCATCTTCGGCGTCGAAAATTTGGTGCAGAAAAATTTTCCGCCGTTGCTCCCCTCGAAAAAAAATCCTGGCTACGGGCCTGCCTAGATTATTTAAAAATATATGGAAGAAATCATGATGGCCAAAAAATTATTAGGTAAAATTTCTAAAAATTAAAACAAAAAATCGAGAAGGGTAAAGAGTGAAGCGTTGTTTTTGCTGACTATTCCCCCAATTTACTCTAAAAATAGTCTAAACTCATCCCTATCGACTGAACGAATGCAAAGGCAACCCAAAATAAAATAAGCGAAATATCCGCAAAAATACGTCCGCAAAAAATATGTCCGCAAAAAAATTTAAAGAATTCTCAAAATCAGAGTTGCCGTTTCGAATCGGGCCAACATTCGAGTCATTTTTTCTGGCCTCATTTTTAACGGGACAGACGCCAAAATTCGATTCCCGATTCGATCTCTCGAACCGGGCCGACAAACCTAGTCCTAATATACTAAAAACATTCGTTTTCTGATCGTTCCCTATCTAAAATTAAATTCAAAAAAAAAATCCAAAACTAACAATACACGTAGCCGCGGGCAAAATAGTATGAATAACTTCTTTTCGGCTATTTGTGTCAATATCATTCCCCAAAAGTTTAACAGTATTGATGTAATCCAACGGCATTTGAACAAGAGATTCTAATTCAGGAAAGCGTTTTTCATATTTATCCCTCACAAATTTGTGTATAACATTCATTTCCTGATCAATTTCGGTTGCTAACTAAAATTTGGAATTTTTTAAAAATTTTTAAAAATTTCAAAAAAACCTCAGAAAATCGAACAACAAGAATATATTGAGGATCCGATTCGATTGGAATGGTAATTTTTGGTACTTGATCCATCTCTACATATTTATTAAGCTCTGCTTTTAATTCCATATAACTTTAAAAAATTTTTATAAGCTTTATTTTATCGATTGGACCGTAAGCCGAAGGATTCCCCCAAATTTTATAAACGTATCTGGATTAGAGATCGAACTTTTTGAAAAGCCTGGGTCTGTTCCTGGGTTCCTAGTTTGATTTATTGACTTGGGCCTGATCCTGGGCTTGTAGTCCAGGAAAAACGCATAGCCACGGAAAACCCCAGGAAGGTCAAAAAACGTCTGGGCTGGCCCTTGGTTTGATTTATTGACTTGGGACGGATCCTGGGCCTGTAGTCGAGGAAAAACCCAGAGCCAGGAAACCCCTAGGAAGGTCAAAAAAATGCCTGCGCCTAGACTCAGGGCACAGGAGAAACTTAGGCCTTGGTCCGGGCCGATCTCTTATCTGGATCCTAAGCTTCATAAACCAATTCTCATAAATCCCAACGAGCTAAAATTTAAAAAATAAAAATAAACTTTGCAGAATTTGTCAATTTAGCAACATCCGTAACCCTCTCATATTTTGTAGTGTCTATTAAAGGTTTTTCTTCAGTAATTTCATCAATAAAATCATCCTCCTCTTCCTTTTTAATGCCAATATCATCTAATTCATCATCCCCCTCTTCTTCTAAATCGGCTAGTAATTCTTGGGCTAAAGACATTATTTAACCGTTTCTCTTAAAATTAACTCAGATTAATTAAAAATTCCAACGAACAAATTGAGAAAATTAAAGAAATCGGAACGGGCCTGTTGAGCGTGGCCGTTTGAGCGTAGCAAGTTGAGCGTGGCCAGTTGAGCGTACCTTGTTTATTGGCCGGTTGAGCGTCAATATATTTTTACTAGTGCCCGGCTCCGGGCCGGATCCGACCGGATATTTCCAGAGTCCGGGTCCCAAATCCGGGGTTTTTTTCCGATTTCCGGATTTTTTCCGGACCGGATTAATCCGAAAAAATCCGGCCGGATCCGGTCCAGCTCTAATTGCAAATCCGGAATCCGGGTCCGGCAAATTTTTTACAGCGGATTTGTGACAACATTTTAACACTTACAACATTTTAACACAAAAATTAATGAAAATTTTTTTTTGAAAAATCCGGAAAAAAACCGGAGTCCGATCCGAAATCCGGATACTTTCTGCCGGACTTTACCGGATTAAAACAGGACACGATTTTGTTTTTGATCAAATTAATTCTGCGGAAGACAAAAAGTTATTTGGCTACTAAGTTTTTATGTTCTAGTTTTAGATTTCCGAATAAATCCTTCGGCCACATAGGCATTTGTTGTAGTTATTTTAGGTATTGACGCTCAACTGGCCAGTTATCAAGGTACGCTCAACTGGCCACGCTCAAACGGCCCACGCTCAACTGGCCCACGCTCAACTGTCCTCACGCTCAATCGGCCACGCTTAACCGGCCACGCTCAAACGGCCACGCTCAACTGACCCCAACCGAAAGAAATATGCCGAAAATTGAGAAAAAAAGACAAAAGAAAATTTTTTGGTGTTATGCCCAATAAATGACATTTTATCCCAAATTTTCTACCATATACCGTAAATGCCCCCTCTCAAATAATTACCTCCTAGTTATTTTACTCAAACTTTAAAAATATTTAAAGAATTACTATCAAATTTAATTATTGGAACATTTTAAGACTCAATATCAAAAAATAAATCAATATCGCCTGGATTGAGATTTACCCCACATCCAGCAGATCCTCTCTAGTAATTACCCCCTCCAGCGAGAGATTGAAACAATAATTACCCAGGGTAATTATTTCAGCATTTAAGCAGCACCTACTTGTCGGGCGCATGCAGGCGCGTCTAAACTAGGGTTGTTCCCCGTCCTCGAAAGTCGGGAAAATTAAGAGTTTTCCCAAAATTCTCGTCTCCTATGGCCTCCCAAATTTTCAAGATTTTTGCCCGCGGCGCAAAAAAAATTTTCCGCGCCGAAAAATGAAGAAATCTCTTTCTCTCACTTTCTCTTTCTCTCTTTACTTTATTACCAAATTATTGCGAAATTCTTCCCCTCCACTATCCCTCTCCCATCCCCCTCCCTAATCATTTTTAGAGAGAATCAGTCTTAAGTTATCGATTTTAACCTATCAGAGGAATAATCGTGGCATTTTAATTGGCTGGGAGGGCGAGGTAGTCAAAATTTCAAAATTGGGGCTAAAGACATTATTTTTAATAATTTCATTAACAAAGTAAAGCGCTCAGCTATAGCTATTTCTCTCCTTCGGCTAGTGCAAAAGGTTATTCGGCGGCTGGGAGCGAACCAGAATCTTCAGTAGACCGGACTGATGTATTATCCATTACAACACGCCGCCTACTGCACATCCTTAGGAATTAAATAGCTACATATGCTTTACAACAATCTTAAAAGTAAATTTATTATGAAAGCAAAAAATAATACATACTCTCCCTGGCCCAAGAAATAAAAAATTTTTATCACTGAAGGCGAAAATTTTGAAAATTTTGATTTCTGTTTTTGTGAGTCAATGACATTCAAATTTAAATTTTTAGCACCACAAGTGAAATTTGATAAAAATTTTATCGAGTCTTGTTCGAGTCGGGCGCATTTATTCTAGTCCATTTCTTCGGGCCTGATTGTTATCGTATAGGCCCGACCGAGACTTTTTCGCGTCAAAATTCAATGCCCGACTTGATCATTCGGAACAGGGCTGAGCGTCATGGCGTTAAGCGTTTGGCGTTCCAACAGAAAATTTTGGCGCACAGCCCTGTCGGAACGGACCGGGCCCCCAACTTTATTGTTTATACAAACACGGTAAGAGCCAACTAAAAAACCGAGCTAAATAAACCTTCGATAGCTAAGCTCTTGTAAATTATATTTGCCGCTAATTATTAATTTTTAGATGCTGATAAATAAATTAGCATTATTTATTGACTTTACTCTTTTATTTTACTTAAATGCTACAAATGATTATGGCGAGGATTCTAATAATTGTAATATTCAAAAAGTAGTTTTAAAAATAAAATTTTAATAATTAAGCTTCCTATATGAGTGAAAAAGTCACATCTGAAGAATATTATAAAGATACTAATTTGAGTGTAACTTCATAAGATGAGGACTGGATGGATAATGAAAGTCCCTCAACTTCTAAGCCTGTAAACGTTATTATTTACAAATAGGGTTGCCGCCTTCGAGTCGGGCCGCAGTCCTCAGATATATAAATATAGCTGAGGCTTGAGGGGGGGGGGGGATATCGGTAGATTATGAGTTATTAAAGGTGATCAGAGTTGGCTCATAACTCCCAGTAAAGCAGGGGTTAATGGTTACATGAAAAGCTTAAACCAGTGAAGGGAAAGTTCCAAAATTTCTCTGGAACCGGTTTCAGTTCTGAAACTGCTTTTTGAATTTCTTCGGTTCCCGATCTGGAACCGGTTCCAAAGCAGCAATTTATTTTTTTTCATAAATATACCTATATTCTTTTACCGGTTCCAGTTCCGGGACTGGAACTTTCCCATCACTGGTTTAACCCGGGGATACAGATCAAAACCCTGATCACAGATCAAAATTTCATAAATTTATTAAAAGGTTAAAAAGAAGAGTCTGAGGAGAATTAACGAAGTAATGGATCCGAAAGGGTAATATTTTTCAACTTTCATAAAATAAATCTTACCTAATTGTGTTTAGTGACGTCCAAATTGAAATTAATGAAAAAAAGGAAAGCGAAGGCGTGGAATTATCTAAAAGTGCAAAACGTTTAAGAGAGATAAAACAGAATTTGTATGAGCGTCAAAAAATGTTATTTGACGATGAAATGCCAAAAAGAGCATTATTTAAGTTGGAAAATGCAAGATAAAATCCTCGAATATTATAAGAATGAAAATTCTGACTTTAAAGAAGTGTCAGAAATTTTTAAAAATCAAAATGAAATGTCAAAAGAACATTTGGTAATTATTTATGATTAATTCAAGTTTTTGTGCTAAATTAAATGCCAAAATTTTTTACTTATACAGGGTGAGGCAAAAGTTCCCGTACTTTTAGTAAGCATAAAATTTATTTCAAATATTTTCTTAAATTTTATAAATTCTATGAAAAAGGGATAATGAATATCTAAAGAAGATAAAAATTATAACAAATGTTCAAAATGTCCTCCCTACTTACAGATACACGCGTCCAAACACATATACTGAAGTTCAAGTGTCAACAGAGGCACAATTACTATGGTTAAATGCGCATACATAGTGGGCAACTTTAGTAAGCCTTTGGACGCGTGTATGTGTATCTTGGAGGATGGAGGACATTTTGAATATTTGTTATAATTTCATTTTTTTAGATATTCATTATCACTTTTTCATAGATTTCATAAATTTTAAGAAAATATTTGAAATAAATTTTATGCTTAATAAAAGTACGTGAACTTTAGCCGCAGCCTGTATCACAAAAATCTATGAAAGTTATCACAAAAAATTTTTCTAGGAAAAGTTTTATCATGGAATATGTGTTCTCTATTTATATGGAAATATAAGACCAAGTTATATGCAAAAACATTTTAATGTGGACAAATTTCCATTTGCAGTAAAACTCCATGAAAGAAAAGTCCAGTTATTTAGAGACGATTTAGCCGAAGAAGGTGAAGATTTGAAAGATAAAAGACGAAGAGCTAAAGCCAAAGACATTGATAAGTTTGAAATTTGTTTTATATTTTCATTAAAAACATTTATGAAATAAATTGGTAAATAGAGAGGTAAATAGAGAGGGTTCTAAATATAAGTAAAACATGCACCTAGGGTTGTGAAGTAAAGTTTTTGGTATAGCCTGTGGTCTTTGTGGGACACACCCATTTGCTTCAAGATTTCTTAATCCTACTAGATTTAGTATCAAACGGTTAAACGGTTCCTCTCATCGAGCTGGGGTATTATTACCAAAATTGACAAGTGCCGGACATTTTCCAGCAAGTTATGGCTTTACGCCGTTATGACCGCGCGCCGTTTTGTGCCCAGTTTTGTTTTATGTTTTTCTATATCCGTATCCATTGAAGGACACGATATTTCCAGGTATAGCTCTGCTGCCTAGGTGAGTAGTTAAGATTAATTATTACTCAAAATATTTTAAAAATTATAAAATCTTTAGAGAAGCATTATTAGCCATTAAAGAAAAATTAAAAGAAAAAAGCAAAGAAAAATGTGGAGGAAAAGTAGAAATAAATGGAATAATTAAATATTCAGACCCGAGAAAAGGGAAAAAATTTTACGAAAAAATTCTAAATTTTGTAAAGGGAGTTAAAAATAATATTAATGGAAATACAAATTATTTACAAGCAGTTTATATCAATTTAAATTCACAAAAATTGGAAATAATTGAAAATCAATTTGATAATTTTAAAAAATTTATGGATAAGTTTCGTCGAATTCTCGTTGATTTTGAAGAGGAATTGAAACGGAGTTTTCAAAGTAAATTTTGTTTTTTTAAAAGAAAGGTTGCGACCTGTAACCTTTTCATGTCTAATATTAACACAATTAATGTCCGGCACTGTTCCGCGGTACTCCCGAAAATTTCAAGTCGGTACACCCGGTAGTGATACCGAAAAAATCCATTTGCCGCACACTAGTCCCAATGGAATATTTATAGGGGCATTTTAGGATGTCAAAATATTAAACAAAAAGCTGAAAAAAATAAGTGTAAAGCATATAGCTATTAATTTCCTAAGGCTGTGCAGTATTTTCCTGTGGAATTACTAATTGTTTAAGCGAATATAGCAAAATGCCTATATGCTAACTTAAAATTTAATTTAGTAAACGACAAAGCTTACGCTAAACGAATATGTGATTTACTTTTATTCCGCGCCATTCTAGAATTTTTAAAATCGATGATTGCTAACGAAAATTACAGAACCTTTTTAAACATAAAAGATGAGGATGAAAATATTTCAGATTATTTAATTGAAAATTTTCAAAAAAATATAAAAACGCCTCAAGTATTTTGTACTAAAAAACTTTATCATAAGAATAAAGAACAAACAATTAAATTGATAAAAGAAAAAATTTCAAAATTTGTGGAGGACTATATTGAAGGAAATTTAAAGGTTGTTATTAAAGGGGTGAAAGCAAACAAGAATAAAGACCAAGAAATTTATGAAAGCATTACGAATTTGGGGTGGAATGTTAAAAATTCAATTGAAAATGAAAACAAAAATTTTTTGGATGCTGTTTATGAAGACGGAAATTTCCATTTATTATTTAATTTGGATGAAACAAAAAATGAAGGGAATTGGGAATATATGGAAAAGTTTCTGAATGGATTTAGGGAAATTATTAATGGATTTCGTGAGGAATTAGTTGAGAGTTTTAAAGGTGAATTTTAAAATCTTAGCAGGATAAAGTAAGGTCCAGTTCAAAAACGTCTTCCACCAAAAAATGTTTTCGTATAGGGCTAGAGGAGTTTTCAATCATTTCGGTAACTCTATCTATATATTAGTGATGTACAATTTTCCGTCAGGTCGGGAAATACATATGTCTCTCTTCAAAGCGCCTGTGTTGTAGTGATGCTCGGGAGAAGAAAAAACCCGGGAATCGGGAAACGGGAGTCGGGTCGGGAAATGACCTCGGGAGTCGGGATCGGGAGTCGGGAATTAGCAATAAAAAAATTTTTGGCGCCTTCGGCGCCAAAAATTCCGTTTTTTTGCACCATAAGCAAAAATATTGAAAATTTTGGAAGGTAAAGAAGCCTTACTAGCGCCGCAGGCGAAAATTTTGAGAATTTTTAGGTCTTGAAGTTAGATTTCTTCCGTTTTTTGCGCCTCAGCCAAAAATTTTGACTCTCATTGGAGTGAAATATCTCTTCATATCCCTCTATAGTGAACGATCTTTAAGGGTAACTTAAGAGTTTATTTCACCGATTATTTGGAAAGATAAGCCAACAGCCTGTCCAAAAAACCTTGTAACCGCAGAGATAATCAGTGTTGGGTATTGCTGGGGGCTTTTTCTTTGAGCCAGAGCCCAGCTTTGATTTATAATTGTTGCCATTGACCTTAAGTCCTTAGAATCTCTCCATTGGAATGAAATAGAGGAAGAGAGAGTGAAACAGAGAAAAATATTTTTACGTTCAATTTTGGTGGAATTTTGGTGAACTAGCCACATATCTCTTCATATCCCACTATAGTATTAAAACTCCCTGTGCAACATTAATCATCCATTGATATCTCTCTTTATTACTGCAGATCCCTCGTTGTCTCTTCAAATTCACCATAATCCTAGTAAATCGCCGAAATCTTCTATACTACAACTCCACAGATTCTTCTGTTTTCAGCGCCGCAGGCGAAAATTTTGGGAATTTTAGGAGACCAAGAAGCCAGATTTCTTCATTTTTTATAAATGAAAATATAATTTTGTCAGAAAAATCCATTCTTAGGGGTGTAAAAATTTCACGACTTAGTCGGGAATTGACACCGGGAGTCGGGATCGGGAGGCCAGAAACTCGGGAAATTTTCCCGAGTCGGGAGTCGGGATCGGGATACCCGAGCATCACTACTGTGTTGTAGTCCATTTTATTTTATATAAAAGACACAGAAAAATTGACCAGTGGTTGGCTGCGGTAGAGAATTCTCTCGTCTGGTTTATTATGAAATGTACACATACATACATACTTACTGTAGAAAAAAACTGACTTCAGATACGAGAGAGTATCTACTCGAGCGTATGGAATTTTCTAACTCACTAATTTTTTTCGTTGCTGAAAGAGATACAATAACAAGTTTGGTAATAGGATTTTTTGTTTGAGATTTCTTTTTCTAAATTAGTACATTTTATAAAATTTAGTTGTAAACGTTAATTATGTGGAAAATCCTGACAACTCTGCAGAAAGAATATGTAATCTTCTCTTCTTTTATACAACCCTAAAATTTATAAAATTAATTATTTATTATAAAAAGGAATTTAAAAATAAATTTTCTGTAAAAGAAGGAGATGAAATAATTGTAAATTATTTAATTGAAGAATTTGGAAAATATAAAGAAAATCCAATTGAATTTTTTAATTTAAATTTAAAGGAAGGATTCGAAGAATATTTGCAAAATGTGTTGAAAGAAAAATTTTTAAATTTTGAGAAAATTATTACAAGAAATATTTACAAGGGATTTTATCTATCACTTTCGAAAAAGAGAAAATTAGACAGAATGTAAAGAACGAAATTTTAAATTTAGAGGAAGGGTTTTAAGAAGTTAGAGGAGGGTTTGAATAAAACAGATGACATAAAGTATTAAAAAAATTTTTTTTCAATTGTCTTTGACAGCAAAATGTTAATTATTATCACATTAAAGTTTTTAAAGTATTTCTACTGTAATGTTTTACTTGGGATCTGACTTGTTGGATTCCACGGCCCGGAAGGGTCTGCGGGACGCAAGTACCCGGTGACTTGCTTTTATAAATCTTTTAGATTATATAGGTATTCAATTTCTTCAAAGCTTTTAGAAAGCCACTCTTTTTTCTGATCAGAAAAGAATTTAAAAGTGAGTTTTTTTAAGATGTGTCCCTCCTTTTTATATAAATATTATAACAACTGTTTATAATATATTAGGGTGTAACATAAATAATTAGCCCACCTTAAACCATGAAGTTTGGAAATTTATATCTCAATGTTCAGAATTCCAATCTATTTAATTTTTTTTGTCATATATTCTCAATGATGTCTGTTTCATTTACTGGAAGATTTGACATTTTTCCCATACCTACATACAAATTTTTTATGATTCTTTAAAATTTAAGGCAAAATTATGAAATTAGTGTCCACTTAAAATATGAGTTTAAACTTGGACATTCTGGAGTAGAACCCTCTTACTATAAATGCAACAACAAAAGGTGTAATTCAATATTTCTTGGAGCCTTATTCATAAACGGGATAGCTTTAGCAGATTCTCTCAGCCCAAAATTAACAAAATGTGTTCAGAATTAACTATCGTTCTACAAAGTTAGAGATGAAAGTTCTAAACTAGAGCCAAAAAATTTATTAATTTTTTTTCTTAACTTACAATATTTTCTTTAATCGAGCGCTGCAGAAGAATTTTTCAATCCTCTCTCAGAGGGCGCTCAATGGTTCTGCCGTTCAAATGGAGGGTGCCGCTCTTTACATACTCAAAATTCCAAGGAATCATCGCTCACAATCTTTCTTTTTTAGATTCGAATTTAACGAGAAATATCATTCCATGGGGGATACCTCTTAAAGGTTCTATCGGAGCTATCTCTCGATAGGTCCTTTGGGAGATATATCCCCCCCCCCCCCAAATTAAATATACATTAAAAGAGATATCTCCCCGATATCACTTTTAATCGTTGATATTCCCCACAATCCCACTCCTCTTTAAGCGTAAATACATATTCTTCTTGCCCTTTCACATCTTAATGTCTAGAAATTAGTCACTATCCCACTTAATCTCTCCAAATCCTCCTTAATTTTCAAATTACTCGAGATTAGTTGGAATATTCGACAACTTTTTTGGCAGATTAATAGAAAACTAATAGTTTTTGAATTCGAAGTATTCGCTTGTTTGACTCCAAATCCGATCTTTACATTTTTCCGTTTCTAAAGGTAAATAATATATGTATAGAGGAGGTATAGAGGACTTTAGCTATCTCTTAATTGCAATCTATCTCTCTCAATTCCCCATTTTCTCTTTCTCTGTTCCCTCTACTAACAAATTAGGTATTTCAAAATTCTCCCCCTCATTCTATCCCTCCCATCACCCTCCACAATCAATTTTAGAGAGAATCATTCTTAAATGCCCCCCCTCCATTCTATCCCTCCCATCCTCCTCCTCAATCAATTTTAGAGAGAATCGTCTTAAATTTTATCAATTTTTCCAATAAAAAAAGAATCAACGCGTTTTAGGGAGTAAGTAGTCAGGTAGGAGACGTACAGCCCAAAACAACGCGCGGCCATAACTACCTGGAATATTTTTGGCCCTCATTAAATTTGGTACCAATCTCTTTAGCTCGATGAGAGGAATCGTTTAATACTAAATTTGTCAAGATTAGGAAATCTTGAAGCAAGTTATGGCCGTGCGTTGTTTTGGGCGTGTCCCAGGTAGGAGTTGTCAACACTAACAATCTTAAAAGTCGGTTTACTATAAAGGCAAAAAATAAAACTCTTCTTGTCCCAAGAAATTAAAATTTTTTATCATTCCAAGCAAAAATTTTGAAAATTTGCATTTCTGTTTTTCTGTGAGTCAGTGACATTAAAATCTAAATTTTCAATCCCTCAAGTGAAAATTAAAGGAATTATTTATTTTTAGATGCTGGTAAATAAATTATTATTATTTATCAACCTCATTATTTTATTCAATTTAAATGCTACAAACGATTATAGCGAGGATTCTAATTGTAATATTCAAAAAGTAGTTTTAAAAATAAAATTAAAATAATTTAAGCTTCCTATATGAGTGAAAAAGTTACATCTTCTGAAGAATATTATGAAGATACTAATTTGAGTGTAACTTCATCAGATGAAGACTGGATGGAAAATGAAAATCCCTCAACCTCTAAGCCTGTAAACGTTATTATTTACAAATAGTGTTGCCGTTTTCGAGTCGGGGATCGGAGGATTGATGTGGGATATCGGTGGATTAGGAGTTATTAAAGGGGATCAGAGTTGGCTAATAACTCCCAGTAACATGAAAGGTTTAAACCTACATTTCTCTGGAACCGGTTTCAGTTCTGGAACTGGAACTTTCCCATCACTGGTTTAACCCGGGGATACAGATCAAAATTTTATAAATTTATTAAAAGGTTAAAAAGAAGAGTCTGAGGAGAATTAACCAAGTAATGGATCCGAAAGGGTAATATTTTTCAACTTTTATGAAATAAATCTTAGCTAATTGTGTTTAGTGACGGCCAAACTGAAAAAAATAAAAAAAGGAAAAGAAACGGCGGCGAATCATCTAAATCTGTTGACCGTTTAAGAGTGATAAAACAGAATTTGTATCAACGCCAAAAATTTTTATTTGACGGTGAAATGCCAAAAAGAGAGCATTATTTAAGTAATGAAACGCAAAATAAAATTATCGAATATTACAAGAAAGAAAATTCTGAATTTGAAAACGTGTCAGAAATTTTTAAAAATAATCGTAATGGAATGTCAACAGAACTTTTGGTAATTACCGTATTTTCATTAATTTCTCTAGGGAATTTTTTCAACCCTTCCTTGGCATGGGGAATTAATCGAGAGGGGGGAATTATTCGAGGGAGTGGAATTTGAACGTGCAGAAGGGTATTTAGGGATGGGGAAAAAAACAAACAACAACCCAACTCTAGCATGGGGAATTATGTAATTGAGATGGGGAATTATTCAAGTGAGGGGAATTAATCGAGAAAATAGGGTTGGGGTCATTTTGGCGCCGGGTCGTTTCGGCGCGAGAACAAAAAAGTGGCACTTAGGCGAGACCTAAATTTACAAAATTTTTCTCAAATTTCTTTAACATCCTTGGCTACTTTTCCAGAAATTTCAGAATTTTTCATCCAATATTTCCGAAGTTACATATATTTCCGACATCCAATATTTCCGACTCGCTATCTTATAAGCTCGCGCCATTACGGCCACGCGCCAAAACAGCCCAGTCCCAGAAAATACGGTATCTATGATTAATTTAAGTTTGTAGTCTTTGTGCTAAATAAAATGCCAAAATTTTATTACTTATGTAATTTTTTTGCAAATGTCAAAAAATTTTTCTAGGAAAAGTTTTATCATGGAATATGTGTTCTCTATTTATATGGAAATATAAGACCAAGTTATATGCAAAAACATTTTAATGTGGACAAATTTCCATTTGCAGTAAAACTGCATGAAAGAAAAGTCCGTTTATTTAAGGACGATTTAGCCGAAGAAGATGAAGATTTGACAGATAGAATACGAAGAGCTAAAAAGGAAGACATTGATAAGTTTGAAATTTGTTTTATATTTTCATTAAAATAAATTAAATGAATAAAGGCAAATAGAAAGGTTTCTACTAGTGTTAAGCCGGAACCGCAAATTTGGCCGGAACCGGTCCATAAAATCCCGGAACTTTCGGCCTACCGGAATCGGAACTTCCGGCGCAACTTGTTTCTACCAGAGGTCGATCAGAATTACGATGTCCGACTTTTGAGCCATAGCTCTCTGAATAGTTAAAATTACTCATTACTCAAAATTTTCACTCAAATTAGGTATATTAAAAATTATAAAACTTATAGCGCGGCATTATTAGCCATTGAAGAAAACTTAAAAGATAAAAGTAAAGAAAAATGTGGAGGAAAAATAGAAATAAATGGAATAATTAAATATTCAGATCCGAGAAAAGGGAAAAAATTTTACGAAAAAATTTTGAATTTTGTAAAGGAAATTAACGGAGAAATAAATTATTTACAAGCAGTTTATATCAATTTAAATTCACAAAAATTAGAAATGATTGAAAATCAATTTGATAATTTTAAAAAATTTATGGATAAGTTTCGTCCAATTCTCTCTGATTTTGAGGAGGAATTGAAACGGAGTTTTCAAAGTAATTTTTATTTTTCAAGACATGTTTCGACCTGTAACCTTCTCATGTCTAATATTAACCCAATTAATGTCCGGCACTGTTCCCTACCGGAAATACCATGTTGGTATTTTCGGGTATTCTGGAAAATATCTTACGGTAGTGATACCGAAAAATCCATTTGCCGCACACTTGTCCCAATTGAATATTTATAGGGACATTTTAGGATGTCAATAATTTATTTTGATTTTATAGCAAGATACCGTAAATCCTCTAAAATAACCCCATGGGGTTATTTTTTTCGATCGACCTCTAGAGGGGCCTATTTTAGAGGCTGGGGTTATCTTAGAGGCTGGGGCTATTTTAGAGGATTTACGGTATGCTCAAAACAAAAGTGGCGAAAAAGTTGTCGCACCCTGTACAAAAAAGGTCGACCTATTTTCGGTGGAATTATACATAAATTGTTTATTTGTTTAAGCGAATATATGTAGATAAAAAATATTTTAATTTAGTTCGCAATAAAGCTTACGCTAAACGAATATGTGATTTACTTCTATTTCGCGCCATTCTGGAATTTTTAGAATCGTTGATTGTTAACGAAAAATACAAAAACTTTTTAGAGATAAAAGATGAGGATGAAAATATTTTTGCTTATTCAATTGAAAATTTTCAAGAAAATATAGAAAAGCCTAAAGTATTTTTTACTTCAAAACTCAATCATAAGTATAGAGAACATACAATTAAAGTAACAAAAGAAAAAATTTCAAAATTTATGGAGGACTATATTGAAGGAAATTTAAAAGTTGTTATTGAAAAAGTTGTGTCAAACAAGAAGAAAGTGGGAGAATGAGGAATTTTTAAGGAAAATCTATTCGATAAAAACCGTTGTTAAATTTTAGTTGGTATAATACTTATCTGTTATACGCCCACAAACTGAGTACCATCCGACATTGATTGGCTATAACTTTTTAACTGGTGATCAGACTTGGTCCATTATGTTGGAGAAAAGATTCCTCTTATCGAGTGCTTTCGATTGGTATAAGTTTTATTTGAAATAGATCAAGCAACAAAAAGTTAGAACCGATCAAATTCGGCTGACACTCAGTTTGTGGGCGTATAACCGATAAGTACCTTTTTTTAGATAATTTTTAGACAGAAACAATGTGCAACTAAAGACCGGACTGGGAGGGCAGTACGATGGATTTTGGTATACAAGATTTCTGTTTGAAATCTCGTCCTGGTCCAGTCTCTAGTAAAGACATTTTATTTACCATTTTCATAAGGGATGTTATTTTTAAGGAAGATTTTTTCAAAATAGATAGAAAATTAGGAACGCAAAAGCATGAAAATAGGAAAAAAATACCATAAATTTTGTAATGTTACGATAATCAAACTCATTTAAATTTTTGGGGGGTAACTCTTGATACTACCAAAGTCCCCCAGCTTCGGGAAGGGGCAATCTAATTTTAGATGATCCATTCCAGTCCCGTACATGGATCGCCTCTGTTTCGGTTGGGGCATTTCAAGGCCCGTCAAATTTAAAATTAATTTGTAATTTGAATAGGAGAGAATGACCATTTCTTTTGAGCATACGAATCCGTGTCCGATTTTCTAAAAGTAAATATCCGTAAAAAACTTGAATTTGAAATTGAATATCGTTAACATGGGAAAAATAGGAAAATACCAATTGGCATAATTTGAATAAGCAAAGCATCGTGCCTATAAGACCCTGGGAAGTTTAGGGAAAAAGGCAACTCCATAAAAATCACATCCCTATTTGTCACATTAGCAACATTTTCTAAATATTTTCATTGTTTTTTTTTCGGGTTTATAAATGGAGTTAAAGTTCATGCTTCGATTGATATAAGATTCGATTGATATATTCTACAGTTCAAAAAGAAACATGTTAAAAACAAAAGATCGAGTTGAACGATGCTGACTTGCCTAGGCAGGAAGGAAAAATTTTTTGATCTTTTTGTAATAGCTGAGAAAGCACTTTAAAAAAAAGATAAAAGTTGATTTTTCTAGAAAATAATCACTGCACCATTACCTACTGCGTTTTTTAGTTTCCAAAAACCTATTAAGAATTTTCTATACTTCGGTAATTACAATTTTTCATTTTGTTATTCCGAAGGACAAATTATATTTATAAAAATTATTTATAAATAATTAGACAGTTTAATTTCTGTACTTTAGTAAAAGTATTTTTTTAGAATTGTTTGGTTTTTTTCAAATTGTTTGGGTTTTTGGATGTATAAAAAGCCAGAACTGGCAAATTGACTAATATTTTGCTACATTTTACATTTGTTTAGAAACACCCGGGCATGGCTAGTGTTTTCAAATGCGTCCCGAGCCGGACTGAGAGATAAACCTCGAAAAACTGGAGTTTATCAAAATACACGCTTTCCGGCTAACTGGCCCGGAAAGCCCAGTCTCGGGCCGGGTTCAAATCTAGTTTTAACATAAATATAGAAAAATTCCCTGAGAATGGCGAAAACAATATACTTACATTTTTCTTTCTATAAAAATTTCATCATGTATAGAAATACAACATTAGATTTCTTAATTGTTTTTTCCCTTAACCGTCTTTTTTGAGTAAATTCACGTGAAAATACTTTAAAGATTAATAGACGTATTGCCGCCTATTTCTTAATAAAAAATAAAAGGGCATTCGATAATACATAAAAGGGCATTCGATAAGGGCATTTTACTCTCTTTATTATTCAATACGTATTGCCGCCTATTTCTTAATTGTACATAAAAGGGCATTCGATAAGGGCATTTTACTCTCTTTATTATTCATTACGTATTGCCGCCTATTTCTTAATACATAAAAGGGCATTCGATAAGGGCATTTTACTCTCTTTATTATTCAATACGTATTGCCGCCTATTTCTTAATTGTACATAAAAGGGCATTCGATAAGGGCATTTTACTCTCTTTATTATTCATTACGTATTGCCGCCTATTTCTTAATACATAAAAGGGCATTCGATAAGGGCATTTTACTCTCTTTATTATTCAAGACGTATTGCCGCCTATTTCTTAATTTTAAATAAAAGGGCATCCGATAAGGGCATTTGACACTTAATATTTATTTCTCTATTTATTTTTTAAATAATAAATTTTATTTTATTACTCTATACATAAAATAGGATTAAATTCTAAGATTCCTTAATGATTCTACAACATTATGTTCAAGGGAAAAGGTCCAAACAATTTTCGGAAATTTGTATAGTTCTTGTAATTATATGTATAATACCCGTTTTTAAGTCAAAGTTTAAGCTAAGTATGTTTAAAGCCGATTTATAAAAAGCGCAATCAAAAATTTATAGGGAATATAAAAATATAAGACATTGCGGAATAACCAAATAATCCGGAATTTGACGGAAGGAAAAGGCATCATTGAAAAGGCATCAACATGGAAATTGACTTTTCCAACATGGAAAAGGCATCATTCTAGTCTCATAGCGCGAATTAAACTACATACAACTCCTTAAGCTTGTCTCATGTCTAGGGTGTGTAACATACCTAATTATAAAGGAGATATGACCGAAAATATGGGTTCCTTTATAATTATGTTACACACCATAATTTTAGGGCAGGATTAAAGGCTAACGCGGCCTCTCCAGGCAGCTATTAATGTTAGAAGATCGCTGAAGTAACACTCATTAAAAAAATAAATTTTAGATTAAAATAGTAAAAATGAAAATTAAAAAAGCTTTGCTTTTAATAAATTTAATAATTTTATTATGCAAAAATAGTCAAGAAGCAAGCCGTAACGAATTATTAGCTATAGTAGCAGCTGAGGAATATGAAGAAATATTAACTACAGCTAAGGATTATATAGAATTTATTGAAAATTTTGAAGAGGGAAATGAGGAATTATTAGGAGGATTCTTAATTAAAATAATTTCAAAATTTTATAATTATTTTATTGAAATGTTTAAAATACGCCCTTCAAATAATTCTGCCTATCAAGTTTATAAATATGTTTTTGGAAATGATGAAGGGTGGAATGAAGGGGTTGGAAGTGTTATTAATAAATATATTTTTAAAGCAAAATTGGTGGAGGGTAAATTAAAGTGCTTGGAAGATGAAAAGAAAAAATTTTGTGAGATACACAATTTAATTGATGAATTTGTTAAGGATGAGGAGATTTTGAAGAATAAAGTGTGCAAAGATAAATTAATGACAACATTTAGATTGATGAGACATGTAAAGCTTTATTTTAAATTGTCAGGGTACAGGTGCTCTACCCTAATCCAATAAAAATTTATGAGTACATCTGTTGATCAGGAGACCAATAGGATTTTCTACTGATATCCCGACATCCATTTTTAGTCGATTTTGGCTTTGGCGTGTTTTAAGAATTTGAAAAATTGGCGTTTTGCGCGTCAGCCCTGGTTGCTGGTTGTATGAATTAAAAATTCTTGGAAATTCCTGATTCTCGATAATTTTTAACAACGTTGGAAGTTTAAATAAATATTAACGTTATTTCTTTATTAGGATGAAAAATCAACCCATCGAAATATTAACTGCAACAATGAACAAGATGTTGAATTACTTATCGAAAAATACCTTTCGCCTTCTTGCATCAAACAATTTTATTCTATAAATTTGGGAAATATAAAAATGTTTTTAGACAAAAACATTGAGGAGTTCTGCAATTTTATGGAAAATCAGAATCCATCCAAACGAGCATTTTTGGGTTTGCTTGGACCCGAATTGCTAGCTCAGTTGGAAGAAGAATATCCGAAATTGATGAGAATAGGCAAGTTTACTTTAAAAATCACAATCATTAAAATTTGTTTTATAATATTTGACCATATTGTCGGGAAATAAGTAATGCTGGGAATATGACGGTTTTGTGACCGAACCATGTTCGTCCCGCCTAAGGTACCGGAGCCAGAGCTTTTCAACTACACCTTTCTAGCTCTGCGGCTTTTTGTATATTCAGAAGGCAAGAAGCATTAACTTAATATTTTCAACAACCATGCGAAGATATTCGGATAGATTACAAAAAGTTTAGCATCGGCCCAGAGCATCTCAAAGCAGTAGCTTTATTTCCAACCCTGGATATTTTCAAAAATAGGCTCCGGTTGGGCGGAGCCCGTTTCGAAGCTATTTTAGAGGTCCATATTGAACACTTAAGCCCCTCCTTACAGATTAGGTCCTTTGCTTCTAAGGGGCAAAAACAACTACTACTCTTGATTTAACTTTAATTTAATTACAGACGAAGTCCTTCCAGAAGTTTGTTTGTACCTTTACAAGGATGTACTTTTATTAAACGACAAAGACAACAAAGAATATTATGAATATTCATTAAATGGTGCGAACCATTTAAAAAAAGAACTTCGTTTACAAATAACTGCATTATTAACAAATAATAAATATTTTAAAACTTTAATTCCGCAAAACGAAAAAATTACTAATTTAAATATTTTAAAAGAAAAATTTGAAGAAAGCAAAGAATTCGTTTATTTATGGCTAAAAAATAAAGATAATAATAAATTATTATTTAATTTATTTAATTTTGTGTACTCTATTGGATTAAATACGTCGAGTTTACTGCAAATAAGGACAAATAAGGATGTTCAAAATTTAATAGAAAGATTAAATAATAATATAAAAATGCAGGAAGGAAAGGATATTTTAAAGGAAATGAAAAATTATTTGAGACAATACCACTTTGGTTATTTAAGAGAAGCATTGAAAAATAATGAAGAATTAAAGGAAAAGCTTAAAAAGAAAAAATATTCTAGATATTTGATTTTAAATTTATTTGTGGATAAAGAAATGTTTAATAAACTTATTGAAGAACTGGAGCTGGTAGATGAGGAAGGTAGGATTATAATTAAGTATTGGGTGAGATTGGAATGGTACTATTCAAATAGATTTTTTTGGTGTTAATACCAGTAGTAAGAAAAGTTGTGACCAACCAAACCAAGAGTAATTTAAGAATAAATTTAAATTATTTATTTCACAAATAAAATTAACAGAATTTCTGTAAAAGGTTAGAAGAATGTTTGTTGTTGTAGAAGAGGTGATTAGAGAAGACAATGTTTAGGTGGGTTTGGGAGGGGTTTATAAAGGGGCCAATCGGCCATAGTTTTTGGCCGATGGGCAAAAATTAATAGAAAGTTTGGGTAAAAAATGATGAAATTGTGGGCTGTGCAAATAAAGATAAGGTTTGCTGAATAGAAAATTTCAGCAAAACTTCAATGTATAAAAAATTAAATTTAGAAAGAGAGAAAACAGGGAGAGGGTTAAAAAGATAAGGTTAACAAAAAAAGAGATGGGTATTTTGCCCACACAAACTTCATCCCGGGAGGCAACGATTTTACACCAAGATCGTTGCCTGCCCGGGCTAAAACTTAACACTCTCTTAATTTATTAGATTTCATTTATATTTTAAAGTATATTCTGGCAATGAACGTCTTAGGGAGCATTATTTGAACATTTTACTTATTAACAGTAATGATGAAAAGTTTAAAAAAATAAAAAAGATTAATGAACTTGCAGCAAACTGCCTTGTTTGGTATAAATTTATGGAAGATGAAGTAAAGGAAGGAGGCTGGAAAAATTCTGAAAATCAGAAAATCTTTTATGAATTTTGGAATTATATAAAAAAGAGCTATATTAATATAATAGAATATGAGATTAATTTTGTTTCAACTTATGAGGAGTTGATAGCTTCAGAGAATAGTGTAAATCATTTTTATGAAGGAAATATCCGTCTTTTACTTCAAGAAATGAGCGTAACTAAAGAAGGTTACAAAATAGAGGTTTTAACTTAAATTTTATTGTAGTTGTTACCTACTAAAATGGCTTGATTTTCCTATTACAAAGGGATAGGGAGATTCCTCGATTAATTAAATATCATAACTCTAATAATTTACCTTACTCGAATATCTCTAGAGAAAGAGTTTGCAAAAGTTTAGCCACCGGTCAGGATTCGAACCTGCAACCACCTGCTAGTTGTTGCTAGGCGCTTTCGCTCACTATATGCAGGAGCTCTACCTCTGAGCTACCGGGGCATCGACTAATGTTTTCTCTTTTTCCTTTTTAGATCGTTTAACCCCCGCCTAAGCGTTTTAAATGCTGCTGGATGAATCATCCTTACACTAGCGAGCCTGGAAAAATAATTATCCATCTAAATAATCGAGAAAATACGATAGATTCGATATCTGGCGGCATTGGTGCAGTCCGATTAATTGTAATTAAACTTAAGAGAAGGCACATCCCGAATGGGTAGATTATCAGGTAGATTATCAAAATTTATACGAATCCTTAGTTAATCGCTTATCATCTAACAAACCCCTCTAAACAATCTGTTTCGAGTGCAGGGTGTTATGGATATCAGAACTAAATATCTGTGTATCCTAAGATCCGAAAAGTCCCCCAGGAATCTGCCTCATAATAGCCTTAATATTTATTTAATTACCACAAACATAACTAAATAAATTAAAAATTATAGAAGAGAAACTATTTAAAAGCGAAAAGTAAAATTAAAAGGCAAGAAATGTCTCAATCTTCGTCAGATAAAGATTATTTAACCTATGACGAGATAATAGTGAATGATTTAATTAAAATATTTAACGATTTACGAATTCAAAGAAGCAATAATTTTGAAGAAACAACAGACTTCTTTAAACAGTGGATTAAAGCTGAACATTTAAATAATTTAATTAAATTTTTAAACAATGATGAGGAGTTTTGGCAGCTAGTTAATAATTGTAAGTTGGTAACTTATCAAAACTTAATAGGTGTCGGTAAAGCGCAGGGAGCTGGCGCCACAAAAACCAAATATTCAGAAATGGACTTTATCCAAAACTGATTTTTAAAAAGCTCATTTTCTGAGTTGAATGAAATTAAATCAAGGAACGTTCCCATATTAGAGTGAAAATATAGGATTCTGAAAACCATAATGGGGAGGGAAGTTCAACTTTGATGCAAAAAGAAAACTCAGCAAATGAGCTTATAGGGTATTCGATTGATAGCTCCAGCTTAAATCAGCCCTTGCATTTAACCAAGGGTGATTGTGGACTTGATGTTAGGGTATGAGGATTAATTATAAGCCCTTTTTGTGTTATAAAGCCTTAATCCAAAATTTACTCAATTTTGTTTTCAGCATTTGTATTAGACAATTCATTAAGAGAAAATCTTCTAAGAATAATACCAGAAGATGGAATGGATAGAGTAATTCGGAATATTTTAAATTTTAATTATGAAGGGAGAGAAAAAAGTGTAACGGCAATAGATTCTGACGAGGATGGAGATAAAAATAATGATAAAAATGTATTGAATAATAAAGGAAAATCAAAAAAGAATAAATCGAAGAAGAAAAAGAAGAAAAATAAATCAAATAAAAATGATGGAAATAAATTGAAGTTGGAGAAGGAAATTGAAGGGACATCAAGTAGTCTTTTAGGGGAATTTGAAGGGGAAGAAAATGAGGAGGAAATAAGAGATTTAGAGAAGATTGTTAAAGAAGATGTAAAGGAAGAAAAGAATGAAGAAGAGGGGTTAAAGGTAAAGGAAGAGGAAGAAAAGAGGGAAGAGGAGCTGAAGGTAACGGAAGAAGAAGAGAGTGAAAAAAAGAAGGTAGAGAAAGTAGAAGAAGAGAAGAGAAAGAGGGGAAAAGAGAAGGAAGTGGATAAGGGAGAAAAGAATGAAGAAAAGGAAGAGGAAGAAAAGAAGGATGAGGAGGAAGAAAATAAGGATAAGGAGAAAGTAAAGAAGGATGAGGAGGAAGAAAAAGAAGAAGAAAAGGGCAAATCAAAGGTGATAAAAATAATTGAAGATAACGAAAAAATAGACAAGAAAGTTAACGAAATGGAGATTTCACCCAAAATTTTTAAAAAAGAAGAAAATTTGTCTGGAAAATTAAAAATGGGGAAAGGAAGAAATTCTAAAAAATTTCAAGCAAATGAGGGTCAAAAAACATGGATTTTGAAAGAATTCCTCGGAAGAGAAGGGGAAGATAAACTAAAAAATTTATATAAAACAGCGATAGAAAACCCTCAAAATTTGAAGGAAAAAAAGCTTTTGGATTTAATTGTTTATTTAAATTTGTTGGCGAAACGTTTTGATTTTTTAAAATATTTGAGAAAATTCCCCCAAGTTTTTGAAATTTTATTTCCAAAAGAAGAAGGGGAAAATGGGGAAAATAAAAATAAATTAATAAAAAAATTGGAAAGAACTTGGGAATATAAATTAAATAAAGATTTTAAGAAAAAAGTTGGAGGAATAAAAGAAATTGATAAAATTGAAAGGGATTTGTATTGTATTTTGGTTGATTTAATTAAAAGAATGAATGGAATATTTGAATTTAAATGTAAAGTTAAGAATGTTAAGAAGGATGAGCTATTAAAGGTTAGTGATATGTGAGGGGGCTGGCGAAGATTTGCTAAAATTGACGAGCAAAGATTACAGTTTACCCCCAGTAGAATGTAAAAAATGTAGGCTAGGTAGGATTGGGGCTAGATCAGATGAAGAATATCAGAACTAGCTGGGCTAGCATGATCCAATTAGATAAACGCTGAGACAGGCTTCTATACTGTCATATGCTTGCTTGTCTATATATGTAGTGATTATTACCGCCGATATATCCATTATTGGGTATATCACTTAAACAGCTCCCCAACCCTGTGCCTTAAATTATTTTAAGAAATGAGCTTAAAATCAATTGTGATTAATTCTTGGGTATTTTATATGTGGTTTGACAGTATTATAAATATAAATTAAACTTTAAATTTATCTTAAAAACCGAATCAAGTTCGATCTTGAAAGATATAATAATGCGGTCAAGCCAATCCTAAAGGGAATTGATACTTTCTGTAATGAAACATTGTTAACCGCTCTTCATCCCATCACCTAAAAATCATTACCATTTTTGCTCTATCTATTGAGCGAGGAGTAAATTTTGCTAGACCTACAATATTTTTCATTTACAGATGAGAAGGCAACTTCATCTTGAAGCGTTTTCTAGTGCACTTTCGGAAAGAAATGAGAATTATGAAGAAAACCAATTTGAAATTGTTCGAATGATTTTTGAATTAAATAATGAAAATATAATTAATTGGGTAAATAAAATATCAAAACGTGCCGGGGAATTCAAGAGAATAAAAGAGCAATTGAATATAGACAACCCGGAACTAAAAGAAAATTTTTATTTGAATCCAGAAGGGTTCCAACCAATTGAAATATTTGAAAGAAAAGCCGACAATGATTTTATAAAATCTTTGGGAAAAGACGAGGAAATAATTAAAAAAGGAATGGAAATATTAATTAAAATTATAAATAAATGGAAGTCTAAAAATGGATTTAAAGACAAATTTAAAATTACGGGAATTTACTAGTTTGGTATTTGGTTAATTGAAGATGTTGAAATTAATATTGTATTTGATGACCATTTAGTTGAAAAATATTTTGGTTCTGAAAAGTCTATTTGTGAACCTTTAATTTCGAAAAATTGTAAAGACAATTCCCTCTATTGTTTTTTATGTAGAGAAGAATTTGAGGGGTTTGAGGTTTGTAATAGTTCTTATGTTATTGTTGCATCCCGCTTCAGAACGTTTAGAGACGGGAATGTAGGGGTAGTAGGGTTTTCAATTTATTTCGGGAAAGGGGTCATTATGGCACTCTAAGATTTTTAGTAAAAGCATTGGGCAAATTGATCCTCTTAGTTCTGGAAGTCAATCTAGATCTGGCACTTCGGTCTGGCTTTCCGTGTTTCAGCACCTTTTATTTTCACAATCTTGGGCTTAATTCAAAACTAAAAATTTTGGAAAGAAGACAATCTAAACTCTTGCCCAGTATTCTTAGTAAATAAGATAAAAAAAAGTGTAAATTGTAATGTGCATTAACTTCAAAGAATCCCCAACACTTATTTTACGAGGGTAGATGTCTGGCACTTCAAATGAGAGTAGTTTCTGAGCTGTCATTCAATTAGGGAATTTCAATTAAATTTACAAAAATAATTTTTAGGCCCCTTTTAATCACCTACAAAAACACACAAATAAAACTCAAAAAATGATTGAATTAAATATTGAAGGAATTAAATTCACAATAGAAACAAAAGAAGCTTTATACAAACACGAAACTAATAAATTTATAAAAGAATTACCAGACATTAAAAATAATATTAAATTTACCAATGCTTTAATTATTTTGAATCGTTGGGCGAAAAGTATGTAAAACTTAAGAAAAAAATTTCAAAAAAATTTTTCTTTCAGATAATTTTGTAAATCAAGAACGTTTTGGATTTTTAGACGAATATTCAATTTCTATAATGCTAACAAAAATAAATATTTTATATCCAAATGTGTCTTTAATTGAATTAATTAAACGTTTCTTTTTGACATATTTGACATGGTTAGACATTTTTTTAAACCGAAAATTAATTAATATTTTAATAAAATTTAATCGTAAAAATTGTATAATCAAAAACAATTTGTCATTTATCAAAAAATTTCCTTAAACGCGCCAAACCTCTAAATGTATGATGCTAAACTTTATAAATGGTGTCCCAAAAATCTGAAATCGATAAAAGAATGGGAATAACAATAAATATAAGTTTGTACCACAAACGTTCGTGTGGCATGCTGTGTATTGAGTTACCAATTTATTTTAAAGCCGGGTTCAAGGCAAATGAGATCGAATCAAAAACATTTATAAAAGATAATATCATATAGTTTTTGGTTTACAAAATTTAAAAATAATTAATTTTAAGGAATAATTCAATACCTGTTCGGATAAAGGAAAATAAAAAATACAAAATAAACGAGAATGAAGGTTCATCAATTATTGTCCTTTCCCCAACCAATCCAGAACAAAATTTAACAAAACAAATAAATAAATCAACAACAAAAATAATTGAAAAAGCAATGCTAGAGGGTTTTTAAAAATTATTTAAAAATTAATTAAATTTATTTGACAGGTTTAAAAGAAATTAGAGAAGCAAGAAATTTATCTTCTGAAACAATAAACGATTTTTGGAAAAAATTTTTGGAGCCAAAGAAAATTCCAGAGATTTAAAAATTTCTATGAAAATTTAATTTAAAAAAATTATTTTTTGAAATTTTTATTTAAAAAAATTTTTTTATATGGAGTAGATTTTTAGTTTAAAAAAAGATTATAATTTGATAATATTTGGACACTTTTTTAATAAATCTATTATAATTACTGTAAATGCTAAATGTAAAGCTACTAATCTCTGATCCCCTCGTAGGTTGTGCATTAGCCTCTTGTACTCATCAGAGGTGGGTTGGAATTCCGATTTCCGACAGTTCCGATTTCCGACGCCCCTGACTGTTCCGACCTACCTCTGGAACTCATAAACCTTTATTGGAAAATTTTCATTTAATTTAGTAAATTCTTTAATATACCCACATGTGTTTCTATTTTTCGATCCTCTAGTAGGTATGCTTTAGAGAGTGTGGTCTATTAGAGAATGCGGTCCTATTAAAGCATTTACATACTTTAATTCAACTCAAAATTTAACTTTTAAAATTTATAAAGACTCGAAATTTAATAAAAAAACAAAAAGTATTTATCGAAAATTTTTGGGTTACATAATGCTGACAAAATTAAAATATGTATAACTTGTAAATAAATAAATAAAATTTTATAAATAATGAAAATATTTTAGAAAATTTTTTTTACTGCGATAATTAGAGATGTGATGATTTTTAGAGTTTAGACTATTTTTGTTCTTGGACTTAATATCTATTTACTTTGAGGAGAAACTGTACTATGTAATCTTGTAAGACAGAAAGAGACTTGGCAGATACATATTTTTACGTTTCAGATATTGGACCATGGTCATCTATAAGATGCTTCCCAGAATCGCCAATGCCTCCATTTTTAAACAAATCTACATATTTATCCAGAAATAGTTCTAGGATCACAGAAAAAGATGTTTTTCTAGCCTATTTTGGTGGGTTTTTTTCTATTTTCTAACCTATTATGTGATATTTTGAGATATACCTTTGATAAAAATCACATCCCTAATGATAATAAAATATGTAATTAATAAAAAAAAGACCGAGACGAGATATTGAACTACATAAACTATCATTTATCAATATGAAGATTTTTCGAATACCATTAAAATATCTCATAGTCCTGTCTTTAATCACAAATTGTTTATGTCAAAAAATAAAAGAAATTTAGTTAAAATTTAATTTTAAAATAATTTTAGTTAACCAAAATAAAATTCCTTTTAAAAATTCCTCACTTTCTTTTCTCCATTCATTCCAATTTTCGCTTTTTAGTGATTAATTGATAAACAAAAGCTTTCATCTTTTCTTTAATAATATCCTCAAAATTTAAAATTTTTTCTACCAAAATATTTTGTATTTTTCCCTCAAAATGTTTATCCACTTTTAATTTAAAAAATTCAATTGGATTTTCTTTATAATTTTTTCCAAATTCTTCAATTAAATAATTTACAATTATTTCATCTCCTTCTTTTACAAAAAATTTATTTTTAATTTCCTTTTTATAATAAATAATTAATTTTATAAATTTTAGGGTTGTATAAAAGAAAAGAAGATTACATATTCTTTCTGCAGAGTTCTCAGGATTTTCCACATAATTAACGTTTTCAACTAAATTTTTATAAATTATAAACACTTGAAAACTTTCAGCAAAATATTACAACTAATTGGGAAATGGCGGCTTTTTGTTGCCATTTTAGAGAAATAAAAAATTTCTGCCGAAATTTTTTAATTCCAAATTTTTTTATGTCGTCCTGTCAGCACTTTCAGAACTCGGCATCGGCAGAAGACTCGCTGAAGGGAGTAATAAAAGCAGGCGGGGTAATTATTTGAGGGAGGGCAATTACTATTTGACTTTGTATTTTTTATCATAGAAATAAAACAGGCATATACAATATATTACCGAATAATGTAAAAAAGGTATAGGAGTACAATCTCCCAAAGAAGCTTGAAGCAGTTAATTGCGCAGGAAAGAATTCCATTCAGCCTCAAGAAATCATTCAGCCTCAAAAAAATTCAATGTTGATCGAAGAATAATCAGAAACTAGATGAAAGATGAAAAGAAACTTGAACAACTGAACAAGCATACTAGGTGGACAAAATCGTAAGAGACTTGATGGAGGCGGTCGTAAAATTTCACATACTGATCTGGATAAATTAGCAGATTGGGTGAAAGGAAAATATACGAAACAAGCCAATCGAGGTTTTTAGGAATACGAAGGTTCATATTTTTATATTAAAATGAACAGCTGTTTGGTTTGACGATCTCGGAGGCAGATGCGTAGATACACTTGGTGCTAAAGATGTAAAAGAGTGAAGCGACAGCAAAAGTCATGCGAGAGTTGAAGCTGGAGCCTGCTTAAGGAAGTACCAAATTTATTCTAGTTTTTCTCTTTGAAACTCATTATATTTAATTTTACTAGGCACGTGATGTCTCGTGGAATAAACCTTTAAAGAAGAAGGTGAGGCAT